AGGTGGCCTTGTTGATGTGTGTGCGCCTTTTTTAGGACGCTCACGCGAATCTCGTTGTCCTTGCACCGAGTGTCTGCTTCCAGGAAAGTTGATAAGGCGGAGTGCATGGGAGGCAGTACCTGTCAGCTTCCAGCTAGCAGCCTTGGCCTAGCACGGCCAGCCGTGGAGTGTGTCAAAATACTTTGGGACATCATGTGAGCAGATAAGCCAAAGTGAACAGATTGAGTAACAGGGAGCCATTTTTGTCTGATTTCCCAGTCTACAGTTCATCTTGCCACCTTAGCTTTAAATCGAGAAATTTGGTAATGCTTGGTTGAGTACAACAAAGGCAGGATTTTGTGGAAGTCAGAGGTCTTTCTATAAGCATGCAGACCTATTGGAGGCAAGACTGAAGTGCCTGGTTAGAAGAAGAGGAATGTGGTACCTCATTAAACCCTCCTTTGTTCGCTTTGTACTCAATGGTAAAAGGAAAGATCAGTCAACCAGTTACTGGGTGAAGGTGATACCTAGCCAGTTAACTTCAAATTTCACAACTGAGTGTCTTTTTGGAGCTCCCTGTGTTCCTGTTCATTCACCAGAGAGCTAAACACTTTACTAAATGACACTTTAGAGTGCTTGACTGAGGCCTCTCTTCTAACTAGCTTTCTAGAATAGTCTCTGTCTTGACTGTTTTAGCTGGAGTGAAATGGCATGCTCTTGAATCCTGAGTTGTAGCACACCTAGCAGAAAACTTTAGGAACATACAGAAATATTAAAACATTTTCCTTGTTTATTTTCTTGTTCAAATTTACAGTGTATAATTCTGTGTCACTCAATCAGCACCTTAAGATTCCTTCTATTTTTGTATTTCTGCTTAGAGATTTCATTAATTCTTCTTTTTTTCTGTTCTTTGAATGTTGTTGTCTTGGCTCCAGTTCTTTGTATCTGTAGTCACCATTCTCCTGCTCTAGGCCTTGAGGTGGCTTCGTTCTTTGTTTTTTCCCCTTTTTTTTCCTCAGACTGTCTGCCGTCATAATTTATTCATTCTTCCTTGTTGATAGAATCTTTTCTTACTGATAGACTTCCTCCAGTAGAAGAATTTTTTCCTTCTTTTGTTTTCATTAATCTTTGGTGGTTTTGAGTGGCTACTGCTGAAATTATTCTTTCTTCGTGGGTTCTTTTTCAACTTCTGATGATTCTGTTTTCCTCAGTATCACTGAAGTAACAGTTCCCCTTGATCTTGAGAAGTAGGAAAAAAATTTAATGTCACTTCTTCCACTGTTCATTGTGGAATAGACTTAGGGCTCCTCTTAGTGGCAGGATTTTAATAGAGCACAGACAAATTGAACTACTTTAGGATGAATATTAAAAATATCTTCTGATACTGCTTTCATCCTGGAGTTTATAGCTTTCAGAGTTGACTTCTCTTATTTTAAACAGTTTTCTTCTTGAAGAAAGATGGTTTAATAAAGAAGAAATAAAAAATGCTTAAATTTGCAGTGTAAACAGATGCAAACCCTGAGGGATTACGGATATTCTCCTTGTTTCTATTTACCCTACTTATTACCTTTGATGGTAGAATTTGAGAGTAAATTGTCTTGTGTGTGAAGTAGCTCTCTTCAGGAGTTTTGATCATTAAAAATAAAGAATTACGTGGTATTTGTTCAGAAACAACAGTTGGCATTGAACAGTAGATTTTCCAGTTCTCATGGACTTATAAGGAGGACAATACAGGACAGCATATGGAGTGTCTGCATTTAACATAAGGTCACTTCTGCTTATGATGATAAGAATTGATGTTATTGCAGTTAAGTGAACTAGAAACTTTGTTTGCTGTGCAAGACAAAGTAAATTAAGCTTAAACCAATGTAAAAACATTGTGTGCAAACACACTCAGAGTTTTACCTATTGACTTGAATTACTTTAATGCAGCATGTTTAGATAAGGTGATTTAACTTTGTGTGTACAAATCAACTGCACAATTACGAAGGTAATGCTTTGCCTGTTCAAGCTGGGAGGCCTTCATGGTAGACTCAGGAAACTGGAGTGTGTCTAGCCCGATATAACCTTGGCCACTACAGCCTAGGCTTCTATTAATAGCAAGGGAATCAAATGTGGAGCCTACTTATGAACTTTATCTACCATCTGTCTGCTCAGATAAAATTTTGTGTAGATACTGTATATGAATATTATAGTAACATATTTTGTTTCTCTTGGTTCTTGTTATCTGGTTTCCATGTTCAGAGTTTATTTATTTGGTGCATCTCAAAAAACACTTCTGAAGAAGTCTTAGTTAACTGCTCTGCTACAAAGGAAATCTCTCCAGTTTAGAATCTGGAGTATCATCTCATTTCCTTTAGGGTGGCTAATGTAAATCGAGAGATGGTTTGGTCTGGAGTAGGAGGATGTGTGTTTTAATCTTGTGCTACTAATTAAATATATAATTTGCTTTTTAGAGATAACTGAGCGTTAGTTTTTTGTTTCTGATAATTTTATAAGAAGAGGCTGGAATATAGCACAATACATGGATGTTGATTTGCTTTAGGTACCTTGTGTAATACTCGTTTGACTTAGAAAAATCAGATTGTCACAGTTTTGAACCTTTTGATTTTCATGCAGATTTCAGTGTTTTTGATGATTAAGTTAATTGCAGTTGATCTGATCTACTAGAATGTAAAGTAGACATTAGAAAATATCCAAGTTTGTAAATGTGACTACTTCTTAAAGTATTAAAA